GGAACAGCGGACTGTCCGGCAAGGGGCGATTAATTAAAATTAATCACTCGACGAACGAGGAAAAGACGTCGGCGAGAAAAAGGGGAAAAATTTGTCGCGGAGGATACGGATGGATGCGGTGACAAATATCTGTGTGAAACCGGCGCGCAGCTCTCGACGGGGAGTAAGAAAGGTAAATTGAACCGTAACAAGCGAAGTAACGCAGCTAAGCTTCTCTGGGAACGAGTGTTCCCTCTTCCGAGCCGCGCCTCTGGCGTTCCAAATTCATCCATCTTTCATCGCAGCTTCCCCAATAAGAATCACCCGGAAACGCATCCGTGGAAGAGGGAACCGTTGCCTGACAAGACCTTCGTCTTGAACGGATCACCGATTCGCCGTTTCATAAAAATGTTCGCCGGAAAAGGGAGACGGTGGAGAGCCAGTGCTCGCCTAGCGACCGTATCGCAACGCGGAATCGTCTCCCTCGAGCAGAGAATCTATGAAATTGCGCCAAGACGCCGCTTCTTATCGGCTCGTTCCGCTCGCGAATCTTTTTAGCGCATCATCTATCCATCCGGCGAATTACCGGCGAGGAATAGTTTCCCATTGGTAGAAGATAGAGCCGTGGACGCGGCCGAGATAAAAATACTAGGAAACAGGGTGATCCATCTTGGCCTCGTCCCGAGTATAGCTCGTGTTCCCTCCATCTCTGGCTTCGCGCATTCTCTTTGAAACTCTCCACCATTCCTCCGAAATACCTTCCGTCAGTTCGCTTATGGCTATGGAAATAAGTTCTCGTCCGCTTCGGTCCTTTCACTCTCCAGGTATGTCCACACACGGATGCCTTTTCGAACATGCTTCTTTGCAAGGTCGGCCGTATGTACGTATATCGAGGATCGGAGATTTCATTCCTCGAATCGCTGTCTGAATATCGCGACGCGTGTTTCGAACGGGGCTTCTATGAAAATACTCCTTCCGGGTCCACTATTTTCACCGCCGCCACTTTTATCTTCTATTCTATACTCGACGAAGCACGAGATCCAGACGAATTTCTCGGTATTACTGGTTGCTAGATAATATACATGGCGTCGGTCATCCGTGCTCGAAGCGGTTAAAGGAACGTTCCATAATTTGCCAAACGGATGCCGCTGTGTTGTATCGGTTTAACCGGAATTCACGGGGAATTAAGGTAACACCCGTTTAATTTCTCCACACTATCGACCGTAAGCCCCGTTATCGCGGGCTTTGTAGACGACGGGGTGGCGAGCTAACCCTTCGCGACGCAGGAGTACTTATTCCAGCGTGAAATTGAACCGCGATCTCGTGGCGAGCGCATGAATCTAGTCGGTGATAAAAGTTTCACGGAAACGATCGATCTATCTTGCTGCAACCATCGCGGCTGCAACGAATATTCCGCGACATTTCCAGAGATAATTGAACAGCGAGGAAAAAATGCAAGGGAGAATAGAGTCGGCAGGGTTGATTTTCGAGGGTGCACGTGGACGCTGCACGTTTTCGAAAACTCGATTGCGGCCTTGGCGCAGAAAAATAGAGGAAAGAGGGTTAGTTTTTGCTCCCCTTTCCGTGAATTTTCCGAGAGAGTCGAGAGAATTCAACCGACCAGGTTTATTGTAAACTTCTCGCAGGAGCTGGAAGTTGGCGCGAAACGCATGCAAATTTCAGCTTGCGTTTCGCATGAATTTTTCACGCTTCGCATCGCCGACAGACCAGCGAATTTCCGCGTGATCCGCGAATTAACTTGCAGCCTCGGCCCGATGAACCGGAAGGATATTATCGAGGAGGTTCGTTATGGCGATTTAAGCGCAAAAGCGGCGATAAATAAAGCGTGGTCGCGGACGCGGAAAATTCCGGATTACGACGCATTATAGCGAAATCGGTAAGCAACAATGGCGCCGACGCGACGTCGCTGTTCCAGCGATCGCGTTAACCGATGGCGCGCGGTTTTATCGTCCTCGATATCGCGATTCGATGAATCGCGCGTAGTGTCGATTGCAGCCGCGCGTCAATCGGAAACGAGGATGTAACGATAAATAAATTGTTGCGATAGAATCGCTGCTGGCCGGCCCCCGACCTTCTCTGTACTCGCCGATGGCTCGCTATTTTAATCTTTCGCTTGCAAATCGAAGTCAATTTGGTTTATCGTTCGCGAGGATCGAGCGGAGTCGCGCGTCCAAGCGTAAAACCCGATACGAAAGAATGACGACAACTAGCCGATATCGACGCGATACAAGCATGGCGGAACTCGTTCGCTGCAAATGGTGGCGCACTTAAATTTCCCTGGAAATTCCCGATCGAATGCCGCGTCCGGCAAAGAATTGCCTTCAACGAGACGAAAGTGCGAAAATGCATAAATCGCGTTTGCATTTTTCCAAATTAAACCCCACTCTTTCGTATTCATTTACGCAGAATACCACTGTCCCACGCGCGATTCGATGGCGACATCTTCTTTTCTTTTTCCTCGCACTTTAATATCGCTCGGATGAAAACGTTCCTCTCTCGGATTGCCAACGAGAGACGAGGTCGGTGATAAAGTTCTATTCTCATCACGGGCACACGGAATCGCGTGAAAAAATGGCGATCCAGATGGCAATCCCGTTCCGTCGCCGTGCACCCTTGATTGCCGCTGCTTCTCGAACTACTCGAAGCGCTGCAAGATTGCGAGTTTCTCGAAACGCGGAAATTTCCCTGCAGAATGCTCCTCTCGGAAAGCCTGCAACGCTTCTTTCACGGGAATTCGATGAACTCGAGTACACTTGTCCGCGCGAACCAACATTTTTGCAGTTATTAACTAACAAAGGCAGCCCTTTTCAAAGATGGATGCGATGAAAATGCTTTGAGCGGGCGCAATTCAATTTCTCGCGATTATTCGAATAATCGAGTAGAGGAAAAGCTGAAATCCATCAGGAATGTTTCTACGCGAGTGCTTTTTTCGCCAACGTGGATCCTTCCAACGCCTTTATCGCGATAATTTCTCCGCGAATCCGCTCCAATATTGTCCATTCCGCTTTTCATTTACGACGTAACGTTAAAAGGGACACGAGGGTAGCCGAGAAATATTCCTTGCTAAAGCATTAGCCGCACGATGAAACCTTTTACACGCTCGCTGGCCGCGCAATTACTAAATTATCCTTCCGCTTTCTTTCTCCGACGTTACGTCGTACTTATGGCTCATTATCTTCTTATACGCGCGATAAACGCTCGCGTCGAGATTACACGGAAGGAAGGAGAGATTACATCGGGCATGCCCGTGACCAGGTTCGAACTGAATTTTTCATTCCGTTCCATTTCCGTTCGTAATTAAAGACCTCCGCAGACGTCGTCCGGCCATTGTCGTCGCTCGCTTCGATCCTCGAGACTTGTCTTTAACGTCGTTATCTGCGCCGGTTATCCGCTCCCCGAGAAGTCGACGCAAGAAACCGGGGTGGAACTGCGAGAGCGAAAATACAGCTTCCTACCATTACATCGCATTATTGTTTTTACCATACATTCCTCGAATTTAGAAATTTCAAAACCGGGGCTAAAAATGGCCACGATTGGTACCATTTACCGTTCTCGCCTGAGAAACTTATCCGGATAGAAATCGAAAAGTTTCGTACACGGTAAAGAGGGACATAGCCGATAAGAAACTCGGAGTTCCTATGGAGCTGGTGTTCTAATAGCTCGTAATACCGGGGTATCGATCACTTTCATCTGGAAAGTATACCGGTCTCCCTTTACCCGCCTGACATCGAGCCACCAAAGAATAAAAGCAAGAAACTTCAAAGACAGTACAGTTGGAAGAGTCGGAGTTTCAGCGTGGAACGAGTCGCGGCGGAATTTCAATTAGTCTCCTCCGAAATTCAGCGTTACTTCGATAGTTCTTCGGGGATGATGAAGCTTCCGTGACCCCGAAACGGTTCCTCCGTGTAGCCGGAAACTAGGCCGAAGGCGCGACTTCCGGCGAGCGCGTTTAACCCCTTTTTGCGCGCCACCCTCGGACCTTCCTCGCCCCTGATAGCCACCGATTGGCCACTCGTCGCTCGCGCGGAATAAATCACCGACGATGAATATTAACACGAAGTGGGCCGGGAGTAACAGGCAAATGGAGGAACAGCTTCGCCGCGGTATAATGCAAGCAAACGCTTTTTGTCCTACGATTTTTATTCCGCGCGCGTTTTATTTTTATTCCCCGCGAGCTCTGAATTTTTCCCACGTTCTCAAAGCGTCGAAGGGTACGCGTTCGGGTGCCCGATAAGCTCGTGCTTGATAATTTTAGACAAATTTTTGCAGCCTTCGCGGCGATGGTGTTTTAACGCGGAACAGAAAACGTACCGGTGGAAATTGCAATTTGCCCGAGATTTTGGCGGAGTATTATTAAAAAAGTTACGCGGCTCGGTGTTCGCGAGTGGCCGCTTATTTGAAAATGCCCGCGTGTCGGGGGAAATTTCGTTGCAGGGAGCCACAGCGCGGCCAATTATGTCGCGAAACTCAACAAGTGCCGATGGTGTTTTCCCTGGGAGGGAAAAAGGAAAGGAAAAGGAAATTATTTTCTCCCCGTTCCGGAATTTTTCTCGAGTTATTCGGTCGATCGCGCGCAACGCGAAACGGCGATTCTCTTCTTTAAAGGAAGATCGCGATGCGAACCGATTGCGGGAATACTACGTTTCTATGTAGAAAAAGCGCAAGCTTCCTTGTAGTTTAAATCACCCTGGAGAAACGAAGTCGTTAAAGGAGCCATTTTCTCGGAATTTATGTAAGTTTAATTCGCGTAAAACATTTTTTAATCGGATTAAGAAAAATGGGGAATAAGTTGGCGTGCGGTGAACTCCGGCTAGTCGACACGGTCAGACGCGTAAAATGGGAATTTATGTTGCCTCACGAGTGTTTTACCATTTTTATAGCCTCTCGAGAAGCACCTGCACCGATTTAACGAACGCCGGGGGTAGATTGAATAACAAATCTGGAGCTTCGTGCACTTCTCTCTCTCTCACTCTCGTGGAAAAGCAAATGGTCCAACGTACCTCGTGATCTGTAACAGAAAGCAACGTTTACGTATTACTCCCGCGGTTAGTCGGGCGCCATTAAGGAATACTAAACCGACGACGACCATAACCAGATTTATCGCGCAGATTCCCCGACAAAGAGATAATTTCATTCGCGTTTAATCTCGCGATACGGGTTGTAAACGCTGTTCCATTGGACCCAGCTTTCTCCCTATCGCGAGATTATGTTCGTTAAAAATTACCCGACAAAATGGTAGTATAACGATGGTAAAATTTGCAGACTACGCGAATCGCAATTATCGACGAAGCATGTTCGACGGGATATAAACACAATTATAATTTTGACACGATTGACGCATCGTTGTCCATTGGACCAGTGTCGCCATCAATATTCATTATCCCTGACGCGAGTAACGTTTCGACGCATTGCAAAATCGAGAATAACGTAATCAATCAACTTTCATCCTCTATCTGTCTACGTCAGTCATCTTCCTTTCTTCGAGAACCGACTTTTCTCCCGTTAATCCCACCCTTATTACGCTCTCACTGCTCGCAATCAACGAGCAGCTAAAAACGTAACCAGATTAATTCCGCTTCCACGTCGAGCCGATCTCCACGTTTTATCCTTCAAGATTCCAACAACATTTCGAAATACGTTCTCGAATATGCATCGACGTTTCGATAAGACCGCGATGGAAAGTAGTCCGCGAGTCTTGCGATATTTCTATCCACGAACGTGACTCACCATTGTCGAATTATAAATTCCGACGTAAACGTCTGCGTAATCGAAACCGTGCGCTATATTTCGCTCGGTTGAAGCGTGACACGTTCGTTCCAGTAGTGTAACGAGCTGATTCGCGAGTCTCGATTCCGAATGCATCCCGACGGAGTCTGTCTTTCCTCGTTACCCGTCGAGCCGTCTGCTTCTGATTCGAGTAATTACTCGCTGCTCCGTTTCCTGTCCTCCCACAAACGGAATTTTAGCTTCGATCAGCTAACGTCGCGTCTCGAATCAGGCATGCAGATGCACGCAGTTATTCCCTAGACGCTTCGACTTGGCGATACTAGTCAATTTCTTAGACGCGTGCATTTCTCTTAACTCGTCTTCGCTTCGCGAATCCACGAAGGATAGATATCTGCCTGGAATTTTTCCTCTCATTTCCTACAGCAGCTCTTCGAGATATCACGTCTCGCGAGTACACCTTCTCTTCCGTTAACGCGTGACATAGTTTGACGTTACCTCCGCTTCGTTGGAATAAATCCGAATTTAAGACCGTCCGGACGACTACGTTCGAAAATCGTGCCAGCAAATTCGAGGCACGCTCGACGGATCCTCGGCCGCGGCGATACAACGTCCAACCAACGTCCGAATACGCTGCTAAATCCGCGTGAAAATCGCGCACGTGTCCTTCTCGGCGCGTTATCTAGGAAAACGACCGCCGCCGGTTCGTTAGCCGGGACTCGAAGGAACGAGTTCGGCAGAATGGCCAGAGTCCGGCGAAATTCCGCCCGGCCAGCATCGTCGCGTGTATTTTATCCGCGGCCGAGCATACACGTAACCGGCGTTATCACGCGCTTTTCAGCTTCGCCCGGCATCTACGGAATATTCTATCCCGCTATACAGCGTGCACGACCGTGCGCAAATAGCTTTTAGGAGGTGGCTCTTATCGGCAGGGACGAGCAGCGGGAGAGCTTCACGCTCGCATGCAAATCCCTTTCCGAAGTAACGAGTAATTAAATCGGCTACTTTATGAAGCGATATACGCGGAAAACTGCCACGGATCGTGGATCAGGAAGAAAGGGACCACGGCTTCTTCCGCCTACTATCTCAGCCCCTTTTCTTCGACCCTTTCTTCGTCCCGTCCTCCACCCCTGTCCCACCCTCCGCGTTCTCATTACGCGGCGGACCGAGGATTTAGCGTAAGACCTTTAGCAAACGAAAGAGTAGCTGGCCGAGAAATGTAACGACGAAAGTTTAAAAAGTTCGACAAAGAGCTTCGAGTGGCTTTCCCACCCTCGAATCGTAATCGTCCCGTTTGCCAGTCTAATTTATTCCTCGCCAAGTACCGGCGTTTCATAACCCGAGTATCCCTCTGAGCCGTGTCGCGCTGTTTACGATTCAGCCCGAGTCGTTGGACAAATTTCTATTTTTCCTGCGAGAGGAATCTCGCTTACCGTGGACTCCACGTTGCTTGACCCGCTCGCATTCCGCGCTCGTACTCTGTATCCTCCTTCTTGTCTAGCCAAAACGCTCGCAGCTCTCGCGGGAAATTACACAGCACGACGGTGTAAACCGACGCTTTAGCTTCGCTAAGAAACTCACACGGGTGTTTACAAAATCCTGTCCTCTCGACTTTTTGCTTCCCTCGTTGGACTACGTGTATTTCGTTCGCGATAGCGATCGAGGAAGCACGGAAAGCGCGTCGCGACGAGAAAAAGGGATTCCTCCGGAATTTCGGAGGAATCTCTGCCAAGACGCCGAGATCTCTGCTGAGACACGAACATCACACGGTTCGCAATGGCGCGAGAAGCACAGCTGGCCGGTCTCTCGCGTCATCGCGCGCAAATAAGAATGACGGAGCGAGGATGCGAGCTGGACCACGCGCTTAAAGTCAAATGAGCTCGGCAAGGAGTGGAAGCGGCGAGATTCGAGCGCGTCTGTCTTATTCCACCGACACGTTCTCGAGGGAAATTGCGTTCGACGTCACTATGATTCGAGCACAAGGGATTGCGGTCTCCGCTATCATTGTCTCCGGACGTTTCGACCGCCTGTTTGCGCAAGCTGTCGACGAAACTAACGGAAACTGACGTCCAAGCGCCGCTCTATTATGACGGAAGTTATAACGAGTCGTGATTACTTTTGCTCCGGCGTGGGCGATATACCTATCGCGGGTTAACGCCGGGGACGATCGTTAGATCGCCGGTTTCTCTGTACGTCGCCTCAGCCTCACCCCAACCTGCCACTTTGGCCAGACGATCGATCGATTACCGATAATTGCCCGGCAAAGTACTATCCGGAATATGATTTCGGATCTCTGATAGCTTTGACGAGCAGAGGAAGCTCTTTGGCAGAGACGCGAAGCTTTTTCCACCAGACTCTGAACCAGCGGATGAGATAGAGCTCCGAGGAGGATTCCGATGATATCTCCGGCGAGAAGGAAGATGTGTCGGGGTAGATTTCTTAAGGAGCAATGTTACAGAGGCTGCTTTTAAGACCCTTAGACGCGAAGGGGATTCGAGACGGGTCGAAGAGCCGTAATGGTTGAAACGTTACGCGAAGTAGTCTCTGTTTTCGGGAGACCTGGTATCGAAGAAATCGAGCGAACGAGACGAGGAGAAAGGACGCGTTGAACGGTGCTCGTTTCCTTTCATCGAATTTGCATCTTCGTCCGACGGAACGAGTGTCCCATAATCTGTCGCTAATCCTTGAAAAATTGACTGGAAAATGGCGGACGTAGGTCGCGTGGCTTGCTCTATCGGCGTCCGGCAGTGACGTAACCGGTTGCAGGGGGTGTATTAACGGAGCAGCGATTTCGGTTGCCTCGGATCGGGATCCGGTGGGTTTATCGCTGGAAAATTGAAACGCCGGTAAATTTCCAACGATATTAATACGAGCGCTAGTGGTTTTTTTACGCTGCTCGTCTATCTCGCTGTGCTCAGGCTTACGGATTGCACCGAGTCAGCGTGTTTCGACATTTGCATCGCAAAACGCTCTCGTTGTCCGGATATTAATGGATCTCCGACCAGCCGATGCCTGTGTGCTTCTCGCTCGCTTAACCCTGCACGGGAAATTACGTATCTAATGTTAACGCGCTTAATACAATCGCTTTGTGTAGTTGTAATGCATGCACTTTCATCGAGATAATTGCGGTCAGAGAATTTCGTTGAATTTGTCTTAAGAGACATTCCATCCTGCATCTCTTTCTTCGTGGACCAAACCAGTAGTTTAACTCTTTGGGGCATGCTGTGATTAAAATTGTCCCACCTTTTTGATGCGCCGTAATGCATGATGGGACAATTTTAGTTCCATCTCGAAATATTGCGATAGCTGCATGCGCATAGGTTTATAATTCGTTTCGTTTACGAGTTGTAAAGCAGTTGGTAATATCTTCGACAAATGTTATAAATGTATTCGCTTGTGTTGGTAATATTCAGTATGGGACGGTGGGATTATTTGAGTCCCACTCTATAACAACAAATTCAATTAAATTATTATTGTAGAATATTTTTAGAGTTAATTGGGGTCCTGTAAAGAGGACTCTCATTAGGATCTGGCTATCAGGTGGGCCGTAGGAGGTCGGGGCCAAGTCACGTGAGGTGGCCTCGCGCAACCCCGGCATTCCCCGGCATAAACCGAGGGTGATACGGCCGTGGTCGCCTCTCGGAAAGGGTCCCCACGAGGGTGATTCTTCGGAGGGGCTAACTCGGAGGGAGGAGTCTCCTCTACCCTTGACTCTGACATGGAAGGAGTTTCTCTTCCATCGGGGAAGCACTTGTTCTCTAGACGGGCTTTAAAAGGGCCCGTTCTGGAAGACAGAAAGTTAGTTAGTCGTCAGAGTTAAGAATCAGATTGAGAGTTAAGACTTGTGGAGAGTCCATCGGTGTTCAAGATAGATATACGAGATAGGGTTAATCAGTCAGGGAAAGCCAACCAAAGGAAAATTCCTACATTATTATTTTTGTATATTATTACATTATGTGATGATTCCTTTATTAGCAAAAGTATGCCAATTTTGTTTCATTTAAATTAAATGCAATAAAATTTCTATGCACCAGGAATCTACTTTATTATCCGCAAAGAGTCAAGAACCTCTCTCCGTTAGTAATTTCGTTTATATTACGTCTTGAACAAATATTCGAGATATTATCAGATTCGTGATAAAGGGATAGACCGCCAAAGTCAGGAAAAGTCAGCCAAAAGAAAATTCCTACATTATTATTTTATGTTATTACATTATGTGATTCCTTTATTAGTCAAAATATGCCAATTTTGTTTAATTTAAAACGCAATAAAATTTCTATGCAA